CTTCCTTAAAAAAGGAGGTTTACGCGGCTTTTTGACAAAGAGGAAGGTTTGCCGAAAAATTCACAGGAATTTGCATATCCTCTTTTGACCGTTTGGCATAGTCTAGATATGCCCAAATTGAGGAGTACAGGATCTTTCAAAAAAAAAGCGGTGGCTGCCATTATGCAAATGAAGCACAGGAAATTCAAATGCCAGCTTCATTTGCAATATTTACATCCCTTTACCAAAAAAGGGATGTAGTCTAGAGACGACCATATAGTCTATCCATGATGCCTACTAGAAAAATATCTCCAATGGTTGTAAATGGGGGCTGGTTCTGAGTTACTACAACTACAGAAAATTCTTTTCCGGTATCTGGCTCGTGGGTTTTACCCACATGCTTGAAGTCTAACAGATAACTTATATTTCAGTTTGGAAAGAAATTTTCCTCCAGGTCAGGTTGGCAGACACTCTGGAGGTTTGTAGCCTTCCTCTGAAGTACAGGGCATGAGACATTTGTTTGTTGGAACTATAGTAATGGGTGGATTCTCTGTAACTTAGTCTTTAGATGTGAGGACTTTAGTAACTCAGAGGTAATGGCCCTATAACATGAGGTGGTGTATAAGCTTCAGTGACCTGAAATGTGCAGGAGGTCAGACTTTATGGTCCCTTCTGGCTTTAAAGTCAAGGCTTATGTTCATATTGCTGTAAAACTGCAGTGTAAATGTCTGGGTCCAATCTGAAGCCCCAGCTTTGGGTTTATTAATTTGAATTAACTGGATGCTCGTTCCAGTTATGAAGATAGTTTCTCAAAGCTCAATTTTATATCAAGCAGCATGCCTATTCATTTTCACTATCATGCTTTTAATAATTACATGAATGTTTTAAACCTTAATTATATGAAGAAACAAGAGGAATTCAAGCGAAGAGCTGAAAACTCTGAGGGTCCCAAGTTCAAAGCCCATTGTGCAGAATAAGGCAAGTCACATCACTTCCTCTACAGACTAAGGTAAAGGTTTTGCTCAAAACTAGCATTGTTTTAGAATGAAGCTTTCATGAATAAATACATTACAAAGAAGTTATGACTGCTTAAAAAAAAACTCTGAACATTTATAAACTACCTCTGTTCTTCTGTTCCACTGCCAGCTGTTTTTCAAGCGTTTCCCTTAGTTCTCGTTCCCTGAACAACTCCATCTTCAGCTCCGTCTTTTCCAGCTGGACCTGTTTCTCTTGAGCTCTTGCATTGTCTATGGCAACCTTTAATAGGCCCTGTTCAAAGATGAAGTTGAAAGTTTTGAGAATGTAAAACAGGTGACATAATAAATGAATGTCTGTTGTGTTTCCTTGATTAGACTAGTGAGATTTTAAGTATAAAATAAATCTGGTGCCAGGTTAGTGTTATATAGGTTCACCTAACAGCCTAATAAATCTTCCTATTATCATCAGCACATTTTTACTGAAACATATTCAAACAGGTGGACAAGCTATATGTAAAAACAATTGGGGCCAAATTTTCAACCCATCCCTTTTCAGTACAATTAATGATAAAAGGTAGAGAGATTTATGATTGCTGAGAGAGTAAAATCCAACTGTGTAACTTCACAACAGCAAGGGCCACCATTTTTAAATCTGCCTTAGTAGGAAAACACCGTTTCCTTTTCTTCCAGAGAGAGGCTTCTTGAATTTTCACAATGATCTCCATATGAGACTACCTGATGGGAGCGCTAGTGAAAATGAAGCAGCACAGCCTTCCAGAGCTCATTAACATTATTATTGATAATTATATATATTAAAATAGCCCGAGAGTCCCTATCTGAGATCCAGTCATGACTGTACTAAGCATTCATCCAATACAATCAGAGACAATACGTGTTCCAAAGAGCCTGCTATCTAGCTAGGAATGCTCCCTGCTGAAAGCTGACATCCCATGACAAAGGACAAATTTCAAGCTTGCTTTCTTCTGCTAGTATTCTCATTGTCAGGGTCCATCAAGGCCTACTTCAAATCCCTCATTTAACCCATTTTAAGTAGTCCCCATCCTATTTTCTTCTCAGTGCTTCTCATATCCAGTCTCACTTAAACTGTTTTATGTATCATATTTTGTCTAATTCAGGGTGTGCCTCTGTGTGTGTGTGTGGGGGGGGGTCACACTCAACTCCCACTAAAGTCTACAAGAGTTCAGAAATCTCAGAACTTCCTGGGAAATCCTCTAATTAATGAGTTCTCATGGTAGAGAACATGACACAATCTATGAGTATGTATATTGTAATTTGTTTATGCACAAATGGAGGTCACATTTTGAAAATGCCTATCAAGCTGAAGAGAATAGATGCATAAAGATAATCCTCTTGAAAAGAAGCTACAACTGTTTAAAAAATCTATAAAGTAAACATGTTTCTACTGTTAAATTTGTAAACTACCAAACAAAACTCAATCTGACTAAATATAAAACTAGATAAACATGTTTAAAATTAAGTGATCTTTAAAATAATAATAGTGATTATAATAACAATTCTTATTCATTAGGACATCTTTATACCAATGAGAAACTCAAATGAAGCAGTAAACTAGAGTTTGTGTTTTTTATCAACTTTCTCTTCTTACTTTAACAAATAGTTGAAATGTATAATATTCAAATTGCCTTCCATGTAGCTCCACCTATAATATGCAAATCACACATGGCCCAAATCAAATGAAATTATGCAAAAACTCTCCCCTTGATGCAAAATAAATAGACAAAGGATTTCTCAGGTGCGTAGACATTCTCCCTCACTGTGACAATCCATCTTGTTTAACAATAAAATCTAGCAGCTAAGGCAACTGCCATCTTTACTCAATTCGGCAACATTCATGTACAAGTTTCTTCTTCATCGGGAACAAACAATTAGTATCAAATGAAAGAGATCATTACATCAAGTGCCCTTTTAGATCACCCCAATTAAAACTTTAGTTTAGCTGTATTTTAATTCTAAGAAACCAAATTCTAATTTTCTGCTCTGATTGCTCTTGTTGACTTATCTTTGAAAGATGTACTGTCAGTGCAAAGCCTAGAGATTATTTAGCAAGATGCCAATGTTGGCACCACTTAATGTGTTGATTGGTTGTATTATCAGTAGCAGTTTAAAATAAATTACTATTACACTATCATTGTTCTTGGCTGACAAAACACAATATTTTGGTGTTCTTTAAATATGAAACAATCATTATGAATAAACATAGAGAATGATGCTAAATTATAATGCTGACGCATATAATTTTACATTAAGAACATGTGCAAAATATGAAACTGCTAAGAGTATATTACATGTCCACTAAATTTCTCCATCATACTTCCTCTCCCCGTCCTCCTTTTTTTTTTAAAAACACTTGCTGCTTATGTACCTAATGGTAATACATTACTTATTGCTACTTATTATGTCTGAAAAATATTAGCTTTTTTTGGAGCCAGAATCCACAAGAGACTACTTATAAGCCATACAAAATTAAGTTCCATTTTTAGAAGTTAAATCAGTGCACATCAGTAGGCATCCAATGTGAACAAAAATCTGCACTGGAGCCAAACTGATGCATATGTAAAATTGTTGCTGCTGCCAGTGATAGTTTTAATGCAAAAATACTGGAAATATTCAATATCTGCCTTTATTCAAAGTAGCAGGGGGCTGAAAAAGGCAACAAAACAGTACAATATATAAAACTTCATTAAAACACCTTGCCCCAGCAACTGTAATAGTAATTTCAGAGATGTGTGAAATCCTGTGAATCCTCCCACTGGTTCATCTGAAAGAAATTACACAGAATAAAGTGTGTCTACCTTTTATTTTCTATGGGTAATCCTGTAGCCTGACAATCTATCAATTTGCCTCCAATGTCAATATGAAATGCAGTTCAACACAAGACATAAACTAAAAGAAAATATTTTCCTTTAGAGACAGCTAGTGATTATGGAGGTTGATAACTGTAGTGAGCATGCTAAGGTTCCATATTTGTTTTCAGTGGAAGTAGTCAGGATAAACTGGAACAAGACTTCCAACACTGAATATAATGTTACCACTTTAGTCTGCGGATAATACATTTTCTAACCTTAATGTAAAAATTCTAGGTGTTCACAAAAAATTGCTTTTTCACTCCAGTGATTTATAAGTCACCACCATTTGGTTTAATTTCTTTAAATAATTCCCAGTGATAAATTCTGCAAGAAAAATACTTCAGCAAAAATGATTAGTTTAAGTTTCTTTCCTTTTCTAATTAATATGATCCTAGTAGACAACTGAGTATATCATCTTGCAAGGACAGGCTACAGTTCTCATCCTTTGCATTCACTTCATCATAGTCTTAAGCCATCAGGCCAAAATCACCTGTTATTATTTTTCAAAAAGCACTAATATTGTGCTATCAATCTGAAACTGGCGTAAACAAAACTATATTACTCTTAAAAATAATGTCCTTTTAGTAGAAACTGAAAGGCATTCAGAAGATCTATTTTTACTCAGATCTGTTTTAATGTAACATATCTTACCTAGGATTGAACAGAAAACAATTACATGTGAACACAATTAAGACAACCCATTAATAATCAGAACAAAAGTTGGCGCGTACACTCCATTCTTAACTTGTGGCATTGAGAATAGAGGCATGTGAGCATCTGAGGGTTTATATTTTCACATATGATTGCAGCAGAGGGTGGGTGAGGAAGACAGTTCTCGATTCAAAGAACTTTGCTCCTCTTTTGTCTGCACAGTATCAATAAACAGACCTTGAATTTTATATGTTTATTTATTATTAAATATTATCCAATCAATGGCTTACAAAACATATATCTGTCTTAGGACTGCTTGCTAACCATTAAACATGACTAATGCTTTGGGTATTGACTGTTTGTAATTCACTATTCACTTTGTTTGATTAGTAACCTAAGTCACTGATACTGTTTCTGTATTCTTTCAATAGAGGACTCTTACTTAAGAGCTTTCTTTGAACAACTCCAGCATGAATACATTGGCAAATGTATATCTGCAGGAGTATATGTGACTTTCTCTATCCATTAATATTCTTGTGAAAAAGATGTCACTCTTATGAATTTTGAACAAAACAAATAAAATAAAAAGCAAATAAAAAGGGCTGCGAGCACTTCTGAAGCAAAGCTGTTCCTTTTGTTTGATTTAATACTTGCAAATATTTTTCTGCAATATTTACTCATATTTCTCTTCTCTGCAGTGCAGAACACTCCTTGGTTTATTACCAGTCTTTTATTTCATTTTCATAAGTGAGTTTATCTTGCAAACTTCTTGTGGATTTCTGTTTAGAAAATATTTAAAAGCCAGTTTGCTCATCTTTAAAATGGATTCTTAACAACAAGAGTGCTACAATACACTACAGTTACAATCAAAAGTACTAACTATGGAATGCAGAATCAGGCGCTAATGCTCAAAATAATATTACTATTATGAAGATTAGCACAGTAGTATAATACAGTGCTGCAGTGCAGCCACATCACTTAATTTACCATAGTTTCTAGCACTTTTGATTGTGAAGGTATACATTTGAATGTGAACTATTTGAATGTAAACTAATAGAAAGTGCTGCCTTCCTATTTCTATGCACAAACACTGCTACACAGCAGTATTATTTGAAAATAACTGACCTTATTCTGAAATAACAAAGAGTGTGTCTACAAAGCAAGCCATTATTTCAAAATACTGGCGAGCTAGAGGACTTCTTACTCTAATTCATGGTAAACCTAATTACTTCTTACTCTAACTCAAGGTAAACCTAACTTTATGTGGAATAAGGGAAGTCAGAGGAAGAGTGTTCTTCCTTCTACTTCGTGCTGTGTAGACAGCATCAAAAGCCAAATTAAGCGATTGACGTCACTGAAATTGTATAGCTTATTCCGACTTTAGCCCTGATGTGTAGACTACTCCAGGAGACAAAATATTAGCTCCGACTGAGGAGTAAACTTCCCCCAATGGAATTGTTACTCTAACACTCAATTAAAGAATTTAAACATCAGCATTAATTTTACTGATTATAACTATAACTTAGTAGACACATCAGTCCCATATCTTTTATTAGGTGTGTTTGATTCATTTGAAAAGAGTACATCAAAGGAGTGAGGTTACATGTTTAAAGATTCAAATAATGTAAAGTTCTATGTAATACTTTTGGATAAACTCTCACCCCTTGGACTGGACCCTTTCTATGGCTTCTAAAGGGAAGCTGTCTATGGTAGGCATCTGGGGAGTCTCTGAAGCAGGGATATCGTGGAACAG